ATTAGAAGTAGACTGACATACAGTCATACTTCAGTTATACATTAGATGGTTTGTTACCAGTGTTTGTTAATATTGGAAGTAGACTGACATACAGTTATACTTCAGTTATACATTAGATGGTTTGTTACCAGTGTTTGTTAATATTGGAAGTAGACTGACATACAGTTATACTTCAGTTATACATTAGATGGTTTGTTACCAGTGTTTGTTAATATTGGAAGTAGACTGACATACAGTCATACTTTAGTTATACATTAGAAGTGTTGATACCAGTGTTTGTTATGTTAGATGTAGACTGACATACAGTTATACATTAGAAGTGTTGATACCAGTGTTTGTTATGTTGGAAGTAGACTGACATACAGTCATACTTCAGTTATACATTAGAATTGTTGATACCAGTGTTTGTTATGTTGGAAGTAGACTGACATACAGTCATACTTCAGTTATACATTAGAATTGTTGATACCAGTGTTTGTTATGTTGGAAGTAGACTGACATACATTAGAAGTGTTGATACCAGTGTTTGTTATGTTAGATGTAGACTGACATACAGTTATATATATTAGAAGTGTTGATACCAGTGTTTGTTATGTTAGAATTAGACTGACATACAGTCATACTTCAGTTATACATTAGAAGTGTTGATACCAGTGTTTGTTATGTTGGAAGTAGACTGACATACAGTTATACTTCAGTTATACATTAGATGGTTTGTTACCACTGTAGGTAGATGAGAATTAAACGGTCACCCATAAACAGTTTGTTGTTTTAATGAAGTAACGGATTTCTTTGGTTGTTATGACTGTCTTCCACGTGATTTCGTGTAAATAATAATATTAAAAAAGTGTGGGGCGTGGAGGTCTGTGCCGGCTGAAGTCTTTTGAGAGATTGTTTGTGAAAGAGAGCGTGCGGGTAGGGGTAGGGGGTGGAGAGCAACTGGGGCGATCGTGCCGTGGGAACCACGCGTCGCGCTGTGTCACACCACCACTCTTTGTGTTCTGGTCTCTCTCGTTTTCGCGGTGTCTACCAATCGATTTGGAGAGTGGTCGGCCACCTGTTGAGAGTAAAGCTCCAACAAATGATAAAATGATAGAGGATTTGTGACTACCCCTAATTCCAACACCATACCCTGCATACTTCTTTTGACAAGAGCGTTCAACGGTTGTGTTACGTAAAGGAATTCCTGGTCAACAATGGATTTATGGTAATATGCAACATTTGCCCAAGAAGTGCGTTTTTGTATTACAGAAATACTGTAAAAATACAGTAATATGTAATATAGACGCTGGTTTGTTTTACAGAAATACCGTAAAATACTGTAATACTCGAAAATAAAGACACTGATTTAATGATGAAGAATCCTATATTCGAGTTTTATATTTTGTAAGTAGGTTTTTAAATCAACTGTGTGAAAACAGCGTCAATCACTGATTTATAAGCCTAATGAAAATTATTTTATGTAGAGAACACAGCACACGTTTGAACAGAATATTGGTTCGTCTGTCAGTCGATAAATCATAAGTCATTGTCAATTTACTATGTTCCTGTCCGCCGGTAGGCCAGCGGTAATTCTAATGACTTGCAGCGTTAACGTGCGGGGTTCGATTCGCCGCGGTGGACACAGCATATAGCCTGATGTGGCTTTGCTCTAAAACAAACAAACCAGTTGGGATGACAGAAATAACCTGTTTTCTATTATGATTCAAGCAGCTGTGTCGTAGACCTTAGATCTAAAATCTAAAGCTAAAATCCGGGGTTCGATTCCCAGCGGTGGGAGAAGTGCAGACAGCGTTATAAGACAACAAGAACCTAATGCAACAAGGTGAAAAACAAGATTTTGATCTGAATTTGTGTGTCCATGAAAGCAAAACGGACCATTGCCATTACAAACCACAGACTCAGGTGGTTAAGTAATAACCTTTCGCCCTGGTGGAGTATCACGTCTGTAACCAATAAAATCTGAAACCCATAGCAACGATGTAGATTCGTTACTATGACGACCATCTTAACTTTCAGTGTTTCTGTTGATGAACTGTTTTTGATTTTTTTTTTTCTCTCGTTTATTTATTATATTTGCGCATGACGAAAATATTCCAAAAATTGCTTTCAAATTGACTCGATATATTTGAATATAATCGTTCCAAATTTCGAACTGAATAGCGGGATTACCTGTTCCATTCATAACGCTCCCACAACTCAAAACTACTGAGCGTGTTCGGCGACATATCGTGGATCGAACTTTGGGCTTTCCGATATGGCCCGCAAGCGTTAGAAGTGGGATATTTCTACCAGATTAAGCTAGTAAAGGGTAACCTAAGAATTGGCGGTGAGTGGTGCTGACTTGATAATTGCCTTCCCTGTATATACTCCATCATTTAAAATTAGGGATGGCTAGCACAGGTAGCCGTCGAATAGTTTTGCGCGAAATCCAACAACAACAACAACAACACTACTGAAATAAAGTTTTCATTTACTTCTAGATGAATTACTAATTTGTTCTCAAAAGTTTTTATAAATAAATTAAGTAATAAAAAAAACAATGCATAAAACAAATAACTCAATGGACTAGATTGAATTATTTATTACCAAAAACATTTTTGTTCTTAAAAATTCATACAATATATATATATATAGTATATGTATATAAATACTTTAGTCACCAGTAATCGCTAAAATAAATATAATTAGTGGCCTTCATTATACATGACGTGTACACACACATAATAATAATAATCACACATCAGTTCCTTTGCGAGATCTTCAGTAGGTCAAGTAAAAACAATCACAAGGACAAGATCGTTTTAATGAATCCAGTTCAACATAGGTGTCTGTCTGTGTATTCTTATCATCTAAACAACGTACACAGACACTTCTTGAATCCTTTGTGAGATCTTCAGTAGGCCAAGTAAAAACAATCACAAGGACAAGATCGTTTTAATGAATCCAGTTCAACATAGGTGTCTGTCTGTGTATTCTTATCATCTAAACAACGTACACAGACACTTCTTGAATCCTTTGTGAGATCTTCAGTAGGTCAAGTAAAAACAATCACAAGGACACGATCGTTTTAATGAAT